GCTTCTTGTGCCCCTCCAGCCTTCTCAGTCGGTAGAGCCTGGGGGGCTGAAAAGTCCTTGACTAGTGTAAGCACTACTTAGCAACAACTAAAACATCGGTGTGTTATCAACTTTGTTCTCATCCTAAATCCAAAACACAGCACTCTTCTACCAGCTTTTCTTACCAGGAAGAAAATTAACTCTATCCCAGCAAAAACCAGGACAGATATCTAATACAGTGTTAGGATTTTTAGAGTATATCCTAGTAAAAGCAAAGATAGAGTGTATTTACATCAATTTTTCTTCAATAAAATGCTGTTTGAAGCCTATCTTCTAATCTTAAGTCAGATTATGCCTTCCACATTGCTTAAAAGTAAAAACCTGCAGTGCTTCATAAAACCACTGCAAAATAAAATATTTCAGAAGAAGTATCAAGTTTGGGGAGGAGGCGGGGGAAGAATTATCATAGGCTTTCTGTCCCACTCTACTGTTTTGGGTTTTTTTATTATAGCTCTTTCCATGATTGTTAAATGAAAAGCATTTTTCAGTTACCTTATCTGAGCACTCCTTTTTCGATTTGTGCAGTTACTTTTTCTGTATAGTCGATTAGATATTTCCAAGCCTCTCACTATAACAGCATGTAACAGCCTGGTCAAAAAATCAAGCAGTTTGAGACGGCTGCTTTGGAAAGCTCATAAACGTGTTTTCACTAGAATTGCAAAGGCCTCTTGACAAGTATCCAGAGAAGTCAGCTGAGCACAGAGCTGGGGAGGGTGGGAGGGAAACAAGCTAAATGCTAGAAGTGTTAGCAGTTACAAAACAGTCCCAAAACCTTACACTACCTTAAAAGAACTTCAGGAAGATTTAGTCTTGTATCCAAGTATCAAGAGACCGTGTCACAGCCCTCTTGTGCAACGTGGTGGCTCTTAAAAGAGCCTTTAGGTACGGGGATGAAAGATCACGGAGGAGGGGCCTGCGGCAGGAGCCTCAGGCGCGCTCGCCGCGGATGCGGCGGGCCAGCTGGATGTCCTTGGGCATGATGGTGACGCGCTTGGGATGGCGCAGAGGTTGGTGTCCTCGAAGAGCCCCACCAGGTAGGCCTCGCTCGCCTCCTGCAGCGCCATCACGGCCGAGCTCTGGAAGCGCAGGTCGGTCTTGAAGTCCTGCGCGATCTCGCGCACCAGGCGCTGGAAGGGCAGCTTGCGGATCAGCAGCTCCGTCGACTTCTGGTAGCGCCGGATCTCGCGCAGCGCCACCGTGCCGGGCCGGTAGCGGTGCGGCTTCTTCACGCCGCCCGTGGCCGGCGCGCTCTTGCGGGCCGCCTTGGTGGCCAGCTGCTTGCGGGGCGCCTTCCCGCCCGTCGACTTACGCGCCGTCTGCTTCGTGCGCGCCATGGCTCTGAGGGAAGAGGGCTGCCTCTCGGAACCGGCGCCGTGGAACGGAAGGGTCTTGTTGCCGTGGCGGCTTTTATAGCATGTTCCCCTCTCCGATTGGCTGGCAGCAGTGCGCCGTTACTATTGGAGGCTTTCAAATTCGAAAAGCCCGCCTCGACAGCGCGCCTTTGCGCCAACCGCCCAGCGGCGCTCGCCCTCCCCCCGTCTTGCACTTCGCCGCTTTTATTTTCGGTTTTGCCTATTTCTGAAGGCAATTTTTATAGTCTATCTCGTAAACGAAAACCTTTAGCGAAAATTGTTCAAAGGGGGAATGATTAACTGTAAATTACACTGTCCTGAACGCACACAAGGCTCATGTTTATTTTGTACTAATTCACTGGGAACTGAGCTTTGAAAAATAAGCGTTGTGCTGGTTTTCCTCTAAAAGGAATCCCTATAACGGTATTTTGGGGCTTGTTTTTCTTTTCTTGGGGAGTGGAGGTGTTGGGTTTGGTTTGTTTGGGGTTATTTGGTGTGTGTGGTTTTTTTATTTAAAAAAAAAAAAAACCATGGAGTAACTTTAATCTGGAAATAGTATAAAGTCATACCGTATCTGGTATGGTAAATGTCTTTGGATTGAGATGAATCGCACGTGAAAATGCTCTAATTCAAGGGATAGTGTTTTCAACGACTCTGAATTTCTTTCAGCGTAAGCAGCATGCCCAGGCTGTTACTTGCTGAAATACAAACTTTGTAGCCCGGGGGCTTCCCATTTTTCCCACTGCATGTTTCTGCTATGTTTTCCTAGCCAGGATAATTGTCCTTAGAGCCCGAGTAGAGAAGGGCCTTCGGGAGAAGGGAGGCCCGGTACCGACACTGGATACGGGGATACAGACACTGGATACGGAGAACTGCTCCGGCTTCAGCAGCCCCGAGTTGAAAGAAGAAAAGCTTCCTAAGCTTTAACGTATCGGACGCACAAAGAAAAACGGACGACTCCCTAAAAAAAAAAAAGCAGCTTTCAGAGGACAGACTTGGGATCATTCCGGTATTTAAAGTTTTTACGAGGAGTTCAGGGGGCGACCACCTCTGACACCTCCCACCCCGCGCCCCTACGTTTCTACCTGCCGAGCATCAGTACAGGGATTAACGTAATTTAAATACCAATACGTACCTACTTCTGCTACTCTTTACTCCGTTAGAGAAAAAATAGAGACCACGAGAGGTGCCCGCAGGGCGACGCGTACCTGCCTCTGAGCCGGGCCAGCTCAACCGCTGAAAGCAGGAGCCTGAGTTTAGGGTGTTTTGCTATGAAGCTCGTTTTTTTCAGAGAAAAAGTAAAGAAAGTCCTAAACTCGTTATATTCCAGTTACGCCGATAACGAAATCAATAGCTTCGTATATTCCCTAATCCACTTAACTAGGGTAGTCCCTAACATATTAGCAATACGCATTTAGTTAACTACCAAGTACTTAACCGCGTCTTAGCAGTCATCTACACAGTAATGTACTAATTAAAAAAGCGATTAATTAACAGAAACGTAATCTAAGTACATTGACTTTCTTTTTACCAGCTTTGAAGCAACACAGCTCTTTTCCAGTTCAAGTGGGTGGCTCTTAGAAGAGCCTTTGGGTTCTCGAGATGGTCCGGGGGCGGAAAGCTTTAGCCGCCGAAGCCGTAGAGGGTGCGTCCCTGGCGCTTGAGGGCGTAGACCACGTCCATGGCCGTGACCGTCTTCCTCTTGGCGTGCTCCGTGTAGGTGACGGCGTCGCGGATCACGTTCTCCAGGAAGACCTTCAGCACGCCGCGCGTCTCCTCGTAGATGAGCCCCGAGATGCGCTTCACGCCGCCGCGCCGAGCCAGCCGGCGGATGGCCGGCTTGGTGATGCCCTGGATGTTGTCGCGCAGCACCTTGCGGTGGCGCTTGGCGCCCGCCGACTCTGCCCGCGCCGAGCTGTGAGCCGCCGCCGGCCGCGCCGCGGCCTTTATGCGGTGGGAGCCGACCTGGTTGGGGACTGCAGCGAGGAGGGGCGGGGTTCGCGCCGTTTTCTTCTCTCTCCGTCACAGATCACGTTAGGACATCGCTTGCTGTTACCTCCTAAACAGTGCTGTAAAGTCTACAAAGTAAACAAAAAATTACCCCCCGCAAAAAAAAAAATCCCAACGATGTACGTGTTCGAACAATTGAAAAGCTTTTGTCCCCCTCCTTGGATTTGTATAAACCATTTTCTATGCATATGTTTGCATATTTTATTTTTTTGCAATGACTGAGGTTTCTTTGAATTATTTTAAATTCTCATTTTTTTCATGCTGTTCATTTATCGTTGTGTTTTATTTGCATTGAAACTTCTATAAACTTTACTTCAGAAGTTTTAATGTTTTGAAATCTCTTACTGGTGTTAGGGAATTTTCCAGAATATCTGTGCTGTCAGGTTTTTTAATACATTGGGTTTGTATTTTGCTTTCTACCTCCCATTTCTTAAATGGGAATTTTGATACCGATTTTTACATAATAAATTTTGAGTGTGTAAGCACATATTAAGCAGAAGGCGGAATAGAATCTTTTTTATATTATTACCTTTATATTAGATTGTGACTGGATCGATGGGCCAAGGCCAATTGTACGAGGCTCAACAAGGCAAAGTGCC